GTCCTCAGTCAGGCTTTGAAATCGGTAAACATTTTAATGTTTTGTGTCCTTGTCAAATTACAAACTCAAGAAACGTTTCACAGATTAATTGACAACATGATTGATTTCTGTGTATCAGTAGTACATAATGTGTATTGATGTAGAGGCCTGGGATGACATGGTTAACACATTTCCTCCATCAGGGACAGTCATCAATCATAAAACATCTCTCAAATACCAAAGCTGCAATATAGCTTGATTAACTATCAATCTATTTGGATCATCGATTACTGCAAGTAATTGTTTAAAATAAAATGAAAGATAAAATTCTCTGATTGTAGCTCCTTAAATGTGAATATTTTCTGTCGTTTCCCTCACTGACAGTAAACTGAACATCACTGGGTTGTGCACAAAAGACGAGGCAACATTTTTCACTACTTTTTGGCCTTGTATAGACCAAACAACTATTCTATTAATCAGGAAAATAAGCGACAATAAAACTGCCAGTTGCAGCCATAGTAAGTGCTCCTCTATACGACCTCCTGTCTCACAGTAAATAACAAAACACTGCGTACCCACTTATCTGAATATGATTATACCAACAGTCGGTGTTATTATACAAAAATCCTTCTTTCAAATGTGTCAGAACAGCAAAGCTCTCTAAGTACTGCTGACATGTAGACTTCCTGTCCGATGTATGAATCTCACTTTTCAGTTTTCATTGTTCAGAAACGACAGTTGTTCCTTAGCGAGTGAAACTTTAAGATCATTTACAACTGAAGAAAACATCAACCAGCTGACTGCATAACGGTGAACCGTCTCCATGAGTAACGGCTAATGAATCTACGAGACAACAGCACTGAGAACAGTTCAGATGCTTTGACTGGAATTCAAGATAATGTGGCATGTCACTATGGGTCGAATATATTCTAATTTATTGATTACAAAAATAAATGCTTTTCCAACATGCATACAACACAGTTAATACTAAATTAAAGCTACAAATATATTATAATTACTACATTTAAAAAAACAAACAGTTTAAAGGTGGATTAATCCCTGACAGTCTTTTTTTTTTTTTTTAGGGAAACAACATAAGGACAGTTTTTATTTGCGGCTTCTGACGTGTGAATATTTTCTAGTTTAGTTTCTCCTCTACGACAGGAAGTTAAATATCTTTGGGTCTTGGACAAAACACAACATTTGGGTGCACCACCTCGGGCTTTGGAAAACACTGATATTTCTCACAGTTTTCAGGAATGGTATCGACCAATCAACTGATCGACTTAAAGGAGAAATAACTGACAGATTAATCGACAACTAAAATAAGCTTTAGCTGCAGCCATACAACTCCTCTATAATAAATAAAAGTACACTTGTATCCCCACATGTGTTCACACTGAAATAAACTGTTTGTAGAATTATGTGAACGTCCTTTTTAAACGTGTCTAAATGAGGAAACTCTTTGTACAACTGAGGTTTGGGTTTCATATCCAAACTTCTCACTGTTCAGGTTGAATTTATTTTAAAAACAAAGCTGGTCCCAGTGAGATCCATACATCTTACTGTTCAGTGCTGGCATTTACTTGCACTTACTTTTATTTCACTTTGTCATAACTTTGGCAGGTAGAACGAGTAATTTACCTTTCTAGATCCAGTTTCAGATATGTGGGCAAAGCATTTAATAGTACATCAAACTTTCAACCAACCTTCAGAGTGAATGACGTGGAATTAAACAAAATTATTTGGTCAGTTAACTAAGAGACAAAAGCCAAGAGAGCTACGTTTAAAGGTGACACGCTGACAGCTGGACTGGGAGGTCCTATGATGGGACATGGCCCTCTGGACTGAACACACGTTACATGTTGTGATGATGACCTTTCTACAAAAGTAAATGCTTTTCCACACACATACACACACACACAAGCAGGTCTGTGTGGCAGCAGCACACGTACCTTCACTGTGGTTTGACCCAGACGTCCTGACTGGAAGCCCTTGATGAGGTTGGTGGCCCCCTCGATGGCCTTGGGGATCTCGGCAGGGGAAGGAGGGACAAGTTCAACCCGGGCATAGTACCAGAAGGTTGCTAGCCGAGGTTTGGAGTAGGTGACAGCGGCTGGGAGAAGGAGAAAACAAGTGACGCCTTAAATTCAAGTCTCTGGTGTTCCTGTCCTCTGCAGCGGCTAAATTCATTTTAAGCTGCAGAGCGCCTAGCTAATGCTAGTTAGCATGTTGCTAACTAGCATTAGCTGTGTGGCTAATATTCAATGACTGTAAAAAAATAAAACAAAACAAGAAACCAGCACGCAATACCCGAGTTACATAGCTCCAAGAAAGTAAATTAAGGGAAGCAACTGCAAAATAAGACTGCGGTGTCTCCTACAGCGGTTAGCATCAGGTAGCTTTACATCCACGGCTCGGTCACAGGACCGCTGTCGGCCTACTGACGTGTCGTCAGTGTCGGTGAGGATCAAACCGCCTCCCCAGTCCCCATTACTACACACTCATTAACAAAGCAGCAAATGAACGTACCGCCGATCATTGTGGGCACTTTAGCGACCATTTTCTGCACTGCCTGTGCCATGTTGAAGCGTTTGTCGATGCTAACTGTCCCCCGTTGCTGCTAGTTGACTGAATGTCACCTCCAGTGGAAGGACCCTGCAGCTGACCACTCAGCTGCCTGTACACAAACAGCCGATCACTTTTCTTCTTTGTGGTTTAACAGCAGCCGGGTCCCATTACTGCCATCCTCTGGAGGTAGATCCTTCTTACAGTGTCTACTTTGTCCCGTTTACCTGTGGAGGCTTGCTGATGGTTACTGGATATTTTACTATTTGTGGGATTTCTTCATTACAGTCGCAGGTTCTGCTCCATGTACACTCTGTTGGTGTAGTTTTTCTTTTTTTTAATTTAAATGTGATCTTGGCCTTTTGGGGCTTTAAGCATTCATACTATAGTATTTTATTTTTCTATGTAAAGATTTTTTTAATTTTTAATTTTAGATACACTAATGATCTGTACTTTCAGTATAATATTGAAAGCTGTCATTTGGTGGAGTAATATTTTGCAGTCCATGCCTTCCTGTGGGGGATGTTGAGTGATTACAGCCACTCCCTACTCAGGACGGCTTCTCTCTGGACCAAATCATTTTGCCTGATGAAGGTTGAGCACAGAATTGTTGCAAATAAATGCATTTTTGCAAGTTAGACATTGTGTGGGAGTCTTTTTGAAAATGGTTCAATGGAATAAATGTGCAAAGAGTTTCTATGTCTCAGAGGGGCATTTAAAAGGCCAGTGACCTTTAACTAGTGTAATAATATAAGCTGCACAAACAATAGTCGCAATGTCCGCAAATTCATAGTCAAAATCGATCTTTCTGCCCCCCTGAATGCTAAAGCCCCCTCCTTTATTATCTCAAGCTGTAATAGAAGCCAGGAAACATCTCTTATTTGTTCTGTACTACTCCAGAAAAATAGCTCTATTAGCTCCTGAAAAACTGTATGAAAAACTGAATAAGAATGCGTCAAGATCCAACATTATTCCAGGAGCATGTCACAGCAAATTTGCACGAAGAATAATTCAGTTTAAGATCAGTAACAGAGGGCTGCAAGGTGGTGCAGTTAGTAGCACTGTTGCCTCACAGCTAGAAGGTCGCCGGTTGGCATCCCGGTGAGGACACCCGGGATCTTCCTGCGTGGAGTCTCCATGTTCTCCCCGTGCAGCNCTTTGTCCCGTTTACCTGTGGAGGCCTGCTGATGGTTGTTGTAGATTTTACTATTTGTGGGATTTCTTCATTACAGTCGCAGGTTCAGCTACATGTACACTCTGTTGGTATAGTTCTTCTTTTTTTTTTTTTTAATTTTTAATGTGGTCTTGGCATTTTGGGGCTTTAAGCATTCATACTATAGTATTTTATTCGTTCTATGTAAAGATTTTTTTTTTTATTTTTTTACATACACTAATGATTTGTACTTTCTGTATAATATTGAAAGCTGTGATTTGATGGAGTAATACTTTACAGTTCATGCCTTCCTGTGGGGGGATGTTGAGTGATTACAGCCACTCCCTACTCAGGACGGCTTCTCTCTGGACCAAATCATTTTGCCTGATGAAGGTCGAGCACAGAATTGTTGCAAATAAATGCATTTTTGCAAGTTAGACATTGTGTGGGACTCTTTTTGAAAATGGTTCAATGGAATAAATGTGCAAAGAGTTTCTATGTCTCAGAGGGGCATTTAGAAGGCCAGTGACCGCCCTGTTACCTGACCAGGTGAACCTGCCTTCACCCTGAGTCAGCTGGGATAGACTCCGCCCCCCATGACCCTAGTGAGGATTAAGCGGTGTGTAGATAATGGATGGGTGGATATTTCTAAGATGGTTAAAAATCTAAAAGTGATAAATAGAACCATAACATTTTAATTAGACTCTGTGTCACTGATTCCCCAAAACTGATGGTAAAACTGAATTGGAAATATTCTCCTCAGGTTTTGATTTACTTGGCCTCCTGTTATCCTTCTGAACATGATACTCCATCACCTGGCATGAACTTTATCGTGTTGTGATGGCTGCTACCAAACATGTCGTGCTTCGAACTTTACCGAGCTGCAAAAATCACCACATCCTTGCACTATATTCATCCCCGTTAACTGCCCTGTCAAGATGTGGAGAAACCCCGTGCTGCTGTTACATCCCTAAACGAAGGAATGAACAGATTGTTTTAGGAAGTGAAAGTTGAGTCAGTTCACCCAAAGGATGCAAAACATCTGTAGATGGCACGTATGAGGCTTCAGTCACATGAGGGTCCCTGCTTTGCTCCACAGAGGACAGTGACTCCCAGAAGTTGAGATTTAAACTTGAATGATTTAGTGTGGCTGATGTAGGAAGACACCCTCAACTGTTTGATGTGATTACTCTTCACTTCAACAGTGCATCAGTGTGCTGCAGACAGGTCAGAGTTTAAAAGGTCAATGCACAGCTTACATTTTGGTACCACAGACCAGTCATGAATTGCACTGCAGGTATTATTTATTCATAGTTTATTTTATTAGATTGAGGACAGATCATTAATCAAAACTTTGGAGGACAGTAATAAAAGTTCATCTCGTGTATTTCATGTCAATTACAAACAGACTTGGTCACATAAGTTACATAAACATTATTGTACACATCACTATATCTTTGCTTTGGGTTCTTTTTCCTGTCTTACTATTTTACTCTTTAAAATCTCAAACAGCAAAGAAACGAAGCGCTGCAGTCGGCTTCTGTATCGATAAACATGCACTCTGAGCAAGAACAGGCCTCTTATACGTAATGTTGACACAAGAGCTTCAGAAAACAATACAATCAACACTTGCCTAGTTTTTAAAGGGCCTTTCATAGATGTGTTGTACAAGTCAGAGAGAGGAGGACAGCTCATGTCTCTGGATGTGTGATTCGTCTCATCCAGTCAGTTCTGAGCTCAGGGTCATTTAGGCTGTGGAGTGTTTTATGTCCTCGTACTTTAATGAAATTATTATATTTTACAAGTGAGGTCAGGTGTTGTAATTGTTGGCTAACACTAAAAGAAGCGTATAATACTGAAGACAATGGCGTTATCATTTTACCATCAATACACTGTTGTTAAACTCATTCAAAATCTGATTTACATTCAGCTTATTTTATCTGTTTTGTTGTTTGGGTTCCTGTGTGAAACCCTCGGCTTGGGTCGAGGTAACTTACTCCTGTCTAATAGTGATATTAGATGCATTTTTCTCTTGTTCAGCTCAGTTTAAAATCTCTTCAGCGGGCAGACGGTGCCAGAGAATGACGTCAGGATTCAGCATCTTGCCGCTCACAAAAACGTTATCTCGTAATCCTGCAGAGAAACAAGCAAGAACATGTGTGAGAGATGTTTGATGATTTGTGTGAGCATTTGTGTCGTACATCACACTGAGTGATCTTCACCTCTGTGTCGGTGACGTCTGTAGCAGGCGAGTCGGTCTCTTTCGTCTTCTTATTGTGTGTCTTATCCATGACTAGTAATGACAGAGAACATCCTCCTTCTTTCACAAGCATGATCACATCTTCCAGATCTTTCTTCTCCACATTTTGTCCATTGACTTCCATCACTACATCACCAACAACTAGTCCAGCACGCTCCCCAGGACCATCAACAGCCACCTACAGGGAGGCAAGAAAGCAATATCTACCATCACAATTAAAAATAAAATAAATACATGGAGGTTTGTTTTTTTTGTCAGTACAAAAAAAAAATGTAATTCCTACCTGACTGATGAAAGTTCCAGGACTTTCTGGGAGACAACCCAGGTTGAAGCCAAAGCCCAGAGTGCCCTTTTGGATAGAGCAGAGTCTAGTCCTGCCTGAACCATCCATCTCCTTTGGTGGTTCTGCTGCAGAGACCGGCACACTGCTCTCCTTCTCTTCCTCAGCAGCCGCATCCTCACAGTACAGAAGAGGAGACAGACCCAGCTGCACAGAGAAAACAAATCAAAGACACAATTTTAAAAATGACCCTTATCTGGACATAAAAATGTTTAAATATGGCTCCTGTTCTCAGGATTCAAAGCATCTGGATTTAAAAAATGCACTTTGGAGCAGACATGTATGTGGTAAGCGATGCCCACCCGGGTATAAAACTCCAGCCCGTGGGGAGTGATGGTGGTGAGGGACACCTGCTGTCCACTCAGCCTCACTCTGTCCACAATCTCCTCATGCGTCAGTGACTCCACCAACTCGCCGTTGACCTCCAGCAGCAGCTCTCCGTCCCGCATCCCCGCTTTCTCTGCTGGACCTCCTTTGTCCATGTCACGCAGAACATGAACTATTGATCAAGACAATGTAAAAGTTAAAGTCAAACATTCTAATTTATGTCTGAGTTTTGTGCCTTTGTGTTTTTTTTTGTCCTCTCACATGTGCGTCCTGATGGCGACTTCTCCAGTCGCAGGAGGAAGCCGTAGCCCTCAGACCCAGAGACCAGCTGGAGCTTTCTGGCTCTGTATGGCAGGCTGCGTGGAACAGCGATGGTGGGGAGGATGGGCATCCTCCTCTGGATGTACTTCTGCTCACTCTCACTGTCAACCACCAGAATGGTGATTTGGTGGCCACATTTTTTCATCTATAACAAAACATTTTTGTTAGCCAAGGCTGGATACAACAATGTTGTTTGTGTTCATGTGCCTTTTGAGATTTTTATTTTTTTTTGCATTTTCTGATTTACATTTTATCAATGCATTCATTATTTGTCTATCATATGTATTATAGAAGCAGGCCTATGACTAACCATCCTGCTGAGTGCAGAGTGTGTGAGATCGGACACCGTGGCTCCATTCATCCACACCAGGCGATCTCCTTTACAGACGCCGGCCTTCTCTGCTGCTCCTCCTGCCACCAGGCTCACGGAGAAGCGACCTTTCACTCCTATGGAGCAGAAACACGAGGAGCACCTGAGCAACGGCCCACACTTAACTTACCTGTCAGACATCTAATCTTGAACTTTGGACCGCTTGTGATTGCCAGGAGAAGTGTTACCTTCCAAGGGTGTAAAGCTGATGCCCATGCCGGAGGCAGGATCCCTGCTGATGTGGCAGAGTCTGGGTGGTTTACAGTCATCGTCCTTGTGAGTTCTGACCAGAGCTCGGAGGTCCTGACCTTGGGACACAGCCTGATCGTACTCCTCCTCACTCAACACTAACAAACATAACTGGTTTCCACTTAGCTTGATCTTTCTCGCCACCTGATTTATAAATAGAGAAACGCGGTAGATCCAGTTAGAATCCAATGACTTGTTTACAGCGGCTTCTGTCCTTTAAATAATGGAGGAAGCTCATCTTACCTCAGAGTGAGGAGCATCATCAATAAAGCTGTCGTTGACTTCCAGAAGTTTGTCTCCATCGCGAAGGCCGTGACGCTCTGCTACCCCTCCTGACACCACATTTCTGATTATGTGTCCTTGGCAGTCCTGCTCCACCCGCAGATGGAAGCCATAGGACTCCCCTTCCTCTCGTTTCAGAACACACAGGCGTGGGGTGGGTGTTGACACAGAGTCTGAGCCAGGAGAAACACAGCGACGCTCTCATAAAGCACACTTTCATTGTGTTCTACGACACAGAGGGTAAAGAATTTCCTGTAGGATACCTGGACCGTCTGTGATGACCATCACTGGGTTGTCTATTCCCTCTTTAGGATTAAATGTAAACTTCCTTCAAAGGGAGAGAAAAAAATTTGACTTTAGTTACACACTGGGCTGCCGAGTTTACTAAATCAGTAGGTATCAAAGTAAAGTACTATCTTTCCCTCAGTGTAAACTTTTAAACCTGACGTCCAATTGTTAAGCAGATACAAGGAGACCTGTTGCTATAATTAACTGCGATAGAAGTTCTCGGAGTTTCTTTTTTATTGACTCAAGAGATCATTTGCATCAATTACAATTTAATCACAATTTATCATACAAACAAATACACAGCTTCAGCCCCTATCACAATAACAGCAGCATTTATCTCTGTACAGTAGGCCTTATCTTCGGCCCAAAGTCTTAAAGATTACGACGTTCCAAAAGTCGACATGCCACGCCAAGTCAAACACAATATTTTGTTATTATGCCATTTTGCATACATTGATATGTTACAGATTTTTGTAAAAATGAAGGTTGTATTGTGTTTTTGCAGTCTAAGTGTTCTGCTCTGATCATTCTGTTTTGTTAGCATTAGCATTCACAGTGACGGGGGTCAACTCATGAGCAACAAGATGAAAAGCAGACTTACTCAGTGGAACACAGGACTTCCTCCAAACCTTGAAAAACACAAATCATATGAAGTGAATGACTTTTTGCCAGCATAAAAACATGAACATAGTGAAATTCCAAATCTACACATATCCACACTTCTATAGCACTGTTTTCATTTGTACACTGGTCCTACCCGGATCACAGCAACACAAATCACACATGATCATCAACTGTCCGTCACATTACAGTAGATTAGTTTGAACTTACAGCTCTGCTGCTCTGTCTGCTAACCTGTGAGGGATCAGCTCGACAGTGCGACTGGTGTCTGAGCCTCGGATCGCACAACTGCTGACTTTGACTATCGGCTGAAGCGCCATAAAACAGGGTTTGACTTCATGTCATTATCTTTAGTCTTTGTCCTCTGAAATGGGAGGGAATTAAAGAATATGAAGAGCTGCAAATGTGTCACGAACAACTGATAGTGGTTTTATGTGAATCAATGTTTGTTTAAAAGTTCACTGAACACTAAACCTGAGTTGGATTATTGTGTTGGACATCCTAACCTGACTGTGTGAGAGGTAGAGAACATCTGTGCAATCAAGCGCTAAGCAAACTTCAGTGAAAAACAAAGTGAAATTTGAGCTAAACCTCACAGTCACTCCATGACATTGTGGATGTAAAGCAATGTTTTGATCGAAGAACCATTTCTGTTACATGTACGGGATGTGAGAGACTCAATTTAATACATCACTCTTTTATTCAGTCACTCATTATTCTTTGCCCTGCTTGCCAGATACCATGTGTGTGCTGGATGGATCCATTTAAGACCCAATCCTGTTTATGCAAACTATTTAAAAGTGGGGAAAAAAAGGCAGCGCATTGTCAAACATGTTATCCCTCTTTTGAAGTTTTCCTTTTCTATGTCTGTGCGTAAAATAAATTCTTAAGAGATTCTGTAGACAGGAGAGAGGGAGGAGAGTGACCAGAAGTGCACATTTACACAGTAGAGGGATCATTATGTGGTGTGCATGTTAGCCATTAAGCCACTAGGGGGCTCCAGTGATGACATATGTTTGTTAATGAGTCTGTCCAATTAGCCAGAGAAATACATTAAAGCTAGTACTTTATGTAATTGAATGAATTAATTAATTGGATGAATGCCACTCCCCAGCAGTAGAGCTGCATTATATACAAATATACACATTTCCACTCTGATGGTTTAATATTAAACATCCCAATAAGACATCTGTATTGATTACTGGCAAACTGCAACAGCTCCTTGGCTTGCACACAAACACAGAGGTGCTGAAGCATTTCCTTCCAGTTCTGGATGTCTAGGAGGTCATATACAGACACACAGCTATAGCTAAACCATTACAGGAGCTTTAAAGTCTGTTTCCTGATCTGCTCTGAGGTTTCATCACTGATTACTGGTGATAATTACATCCTATGTAATAAGTTGTTTTGCCATAACTAATGTCACAAGAACAAGAACAAGCTTCATCAACCTACAGAAAAGTTAAAGAAAATAAAGATGTTATTTTTCAGATTACCTAACCCAGGGGTGTCCGATGCTGGTCTTCGAGGGCCACAGTCCTGCATGTTGTAGATGTTTCCTTCTTCCAACACACCTGATTCAAATGATCAGCTCATCAACAAGCTCTGCAGAAGCCTGATTACGATCCTGATCATGTGAATCAGGTGTGTTGGAAGAGGGACACATCTAGAACATGCAGGATTGTGGCCTTCGAGGACCAGGATTGGACACCCCTGACCTAAGCTGTCTCCCAAAGCAGCTATTTGCAAGTATGGAAATGTCTGCAGCTGACTCACGAAGCCGCCGCTGTCCTCTAATCTGTCACACTGTTTATCTGTGAGGTCCGTCGTGTCAGTGACACCGAGTCCTTGTTCCTCTGACATGGCATGAAATAAAAACAGACCAATGAAACACGATGAATCATCACACTTCAGCCTTTTGCTCCAGAGGAAATCCAGCTCTCACATCACATCTCTGGAGCTCTCCTGAATATCTGAGACACTTCAGAGCAGCTAATGGGCCGCTGTTTGCTTTTCCCCACCATAAAGCTTCTTTTTAATGTCCTAGGACACCGTGAACCTCCAGACAAACAAAGACAAATGAGTGGAGCTCAGTTGACTCTGTGGAATACTACACTTCGCTATTGAAGTCACACAGGCTGTGACTATGAGATATCATTAAGATGTTTTCTTTTTACTTGAAGGTCTTTTTTAAAAAAGGATATTTTAATAGTGTATTTCATTAGTTTTGTCATTTTGTCAGCACAGTGCAGCTGCAAATTTCCATCAAAATAAAATCCCAATTGCAGCACAGAAGAATTCAAAGATGGCAAACAAAAGTAAGATACCGGATATCACAAAATACCATAATAAACTATGCACCGACATGGATAAGACCATACAACACAGCTGAAAATAATAAAAAGCTTTGAATGCATTACCTTTACTGGACTTCATGCTGTGTTTCTTTCCCATCAGGTCAGCAGCCCGCTCACAGAGATGCAACAGTAGAGCGTTGTACATCCAAACATTTATTTTGGACACAGACAGACTCCTCCCCTCCAGGGACACCAGGGTTAATGTTCAATCTGGCTGGGATATTTTCAGCGCACGTATCTCCGTGTAATGTCTGCGCTGCATTGTTCCGTGGACTGAAAGTACGACATGTATAATAAGATTGTTCCCAACTGTTCTGTCTCAGTGGATAACTTTCACTGTTGTGGGAAAAGGTACGGCCATGTGTGTGCACGCTATCTGAGTGTGCTCTCACGAGAATCACAGCCAAGGCCAGAGCTCGGATATAAGTTCCACAAACAGACAAACATTCCAGTGAAAATACCTGAGAAGCGATTTTGACTGAGTGACTTGAAAATCTGAGAGAATGAGGATGAAGCGTGATCTAAATATTATTAAACGTCATCTATGTCAGCTGAAGGGTTTAGCAGATCCATGCGGGACTTAGAAATACATCATCTTACCATATTTTTCAGGATAGTTTGGAATTAAATTGATTGTGATGTTTCTATGAAGGGGGATTTTTCAAAAAGTCAGCATTTCAGTCGGCCTTTATATTTGTGATGACTTGCAGTATCTCTAAAGTTTATATGAAGTCCAGATTTCAGAGGGTCAAGATGCTCCACGGTGGGGAAAAGCCTCAAAACGAACAAAAGAGCAAACAAATGAAAGAACAACACACATCAAGTCATATATATGAATTATGCGATGATGTTCTTGGCAAAAAAAGCCCTTTTGAAAAGAAATGCAAATTGGAAAATGTCCTTCAGATCTTATCGGGTGCTTGCTTGGAGTTTCTGACTAAACAGAAGTTGTAACGATCAAAGACACACATGGCTGCCCTTTGAAAGGCTTTGATCTAAAAAGTCTTATGTGGACAGATGTTCTAGTTTTATTACAACTGTAGCTTATTTTGGATGAAACAAGTAACTTTAGCCAGAACATTTAGAGGCGAGCTCGCTGATGACACAGAGGGAACAAGGAGTGAAGCTTCACTTGGCACTATAAGGCAGAACAAGACAGTCAGAAGATGTGTGATTTGCTGGAGCACGTGGAATTTTTTCCATGGATGAATTCAGGACCAATGAGACACACTAGTACAGAACCAGACTAGACAATAACAATTTTGAGCATTGCATTTAGTCAGATACAGTTAATATTGTATACATAGGTCTATTCATTGAGCCTTTGCTGGTAAATGACACCAAAGGCTCAACTGTTGGTGTTGCAACACGAAATGAACGTTCTACAACCAGAAAATGCTGCGAGTACGAATAAAGGCTTGTCAATCTTCGTCTGGAACTTCCGTTGCTTCCTGTCAGTTTTACATCTTTTCTGCAGTGTGTTGTCTTTCTAGAATTAAACACTTTGTGTGTTCAGATATCAGATGATTATAAATACAAGAGCTGTGCACATCAAACTGATCTCATTCTGAACATAAGAACAGATGCAACAGATGGTGGAGGAGCCACAATGTTGATATCTTTATTATTGCTGAGAGTAAAAAGCTCAGAATGATGCACGTTATATAACTGGATTATAACTGCTAATTCATGAAAGTGTTTGTCACTTGCAGCTGGTAAAGATGAGGCTGATTTTAATAACTTCATTTGCTGCTGTATTGTTTGTAAATTTTCTTCTGGACGTCAAAAACGTTTTATCTTCATCTATAATATTACACCATGAGTATATTGTTGATTCTATTTTATAATATTAATTTGAATAAGCAATTAAATTAAAGTTCTCAGATAAATTTAGCGGAGTAAAAATTATTATATTTTCTTCTCAACTGTTGTGAAGTATAAAGAATCAAAGTTGTTCCTACGTACAGTGCTAGAGTAAATGTCGTCAGTTAGATCACCAGATAAAGAAATGAATTAAAACTGCATCTCGTTAAGCCACCAGTTGAAGCTGCAGTCCACTAGATGGCACTAAAATCCAAACAAAACATTATCGTCAGTGTTCAGAGGCCCTGACACTTTTGTGGAAACGACATAAGTTTTCCATTAAAATGTGATGAAAATTGTGTAACTTTGTCATCTTGTAGTATTTCTGCAAAGTCAAGTCAAATATAGGTTGTCAAAGTTTATGTTTTGTTTTGTTTTTGTTGGGTTTTTTTGCAAAGACAGGGTCGACCTGCTTGCTGCAGGCCTTGGATCCTGGTTTCAGAAACACATCAACAGCAGCAGCTCCAAACTCTAAGCACACCAACACGCTTACATCCAAGCTGTCTGACATGGTCGGTCCTGCCTTACACTAACATGACAACCTACTGCTGCCTGCTTCAAAGGAGCAAAGGCCCACACACAGTCAATTAGTAACTTCACTTGTGCTGTTGTTCAAAGGTTGGACTACAATATATCGCATGTGACTGGAGAGTGTAGGTGAAAACGAAATGAAACTGTGAGAGGTCGAGATGATTACTCCACATGTGTGTTCATAACCAAATACGGTTAGGTTTGGAGGAGGTGAAAGGGTGTCTGAAATAAACCTGCTTAATGACAGACGTGAACAAACAGAAGGTGTAGGTGCAGTTTTTATTTCCCCTAAAGTCTGCCTCCCTAAAGTAGAGCAGCAGGATTGATAAGGAGTAGACAGAGAGAGCAGGAGACCCAATGGGGCTTTTCAATCCCAGTTCCGGATCCAAGTGTCAGACGCTCTACTCGTCCCTGATGGGATCCTCCTCGCCACAGGAAGACACGGCGCTCCCATCTGTGCCTAAATCCTTGCCAAAACACTGGAGTGTACTAGCGGTCAAAAATCTGTAAAGGAGACAGTTACCTTTTTGTGAGCTTCACCCCATTTCTGACACAAATCTCAAGTCCAA